GAGGTTAACTAGTAAATTTACATTTTGGCACGGCTCTGCTTTACGATGATAGACTGGTACAGCGCTCGCATTACTGCTCACACCACCTCGTGCTCCACCTTCATTTCACTCTTCGATCTGTTCTCAGTAGACTGTGCAAAGTTGTTTGACTTGTGTTAGCTTTACCTGCCACAGTTTACACTCAACTTTATTTTTGGCACGAGCCCCACACTACAGTGGCTAACATTGGCCTAACGCATGTGCAATCAAACAAAAACAAAAAAAAAGGTCCATCTGTTGTGTTGACGCCTTAGGGAAATAAAGGAGCAGCCTGAGTTTTTGCATGTTTCTTCTGTTTGAACAGCAGCATCTCGTCTCACCATCTCAGACACGTCATCATTCACACATGGTAGTTAGTTTTGCATTTGATTTTAATTTTTGTGGTTGGAAAATGCATTCTAGGTGCATTATTGCAGCCTTCAGTGAGCAACACGGTATTACATGTTTCAATATGATGGTTGAAAACAAAGAAATTATATATATTTGATTTTAAAAAACAAAAAAACAAAACGGGTATGGCATTGGATTTTTATTTTAAAACTTTAATGCAAGTAAAACCACAGAAGTTTTAATTTCCCTTTTCTTTGTGGTGTGCTGTTGCACATGGTGGCTACATCGCCTGTGAAGGTTGTGGTGCTTACTGCTATGTAGAGCGATATGACCAAAAAATATTTATCACGATATACATTTGAAAATTTGCGATAACGATATAACTGACGATATAATTGACACTAGACAAAATACTTTACAACTCCACAACTTTATTAGTGCAAAAAACAACAACAACCCATCAATGTATTTTCACTTAAACAAGCAGCTGTTTTATTATGTGCATTAACGCTATATAAAAAATTTAACAGTGCAAATGCAAATTCCTTGCTGACAGTTTAACCAAAAGGCATTTCCAGTGGAAATTGGCCGACATACCCTCAGCATAACCATGTATAATATCCACAAAACTTAAAAAGAGGTTACACACACACACACACACACACACACACACACACACACACACACACAAAAAAAATACGGTAATATTATGTTGAAGCACAGTACGTATCACTCCGTGAGGCTGCTGCCTACGATAGCTGTAATGCTCCGACAATCCATCAAGCGGTGCGCGTTTTACCCATATTCTATTGCGATATTTCATTTTCTTATTGTTGCCCAACATTATACCGGTATAATCGTGAACTGTATGATAGGGCCCAGCCCTACTGCTATGAACACGAAATTGTTTCGATTGGCATAATCGAACAATAAGTGGGTGATCATTTATCCAGTGTTTCCATAACTATTTCACATTATTTATTTTAATTGAATCAGATTTCTTTGTAAATGTACTTTGTCACAATGTCTAAATGTCACTGGCTGTGGCATCTGGCATTAAAGTTGTAAACTGAGATAATGAGTCATATCTGCATAACATTTTGTGGGATCATGATGAGACTGGTTCTGTGGGTAGATGAGACCTGGGTGCACCTGTGTGCAGCAGTGTGCCCTGCTTGATGTTTCTGTACTTGTTCCACAGAACTGCAGCTTGCAGCTATATTTTGCTTAGTCTTATTTATATCAGTTTGACGGTGAACAAAGGCCCGGTTCCCTTCAGACGTACATGGATTCCTTACGTCGTTTCACTGAGGAGGGAAGAATTATTTATGGACATGCAAATAAGGCTCAGCTCTGTAACAGGATGTAGACCTAACGTTCTGCTTATCCAAATGAAAATGTTATTTCTGTCGGGGCGTTCCCATACCAACAACAATGTTGTCTGTCTGACACATATCCTGATGATTAATTTAGATTTTGTTGTTGTTGTTGTTGTTGTTGTAGTTGTAAATACAGTTCACCACCCCCCCCAAAATAACATTTTTATACTAAATGTTTGTGTCTGTATCATAATTTTGACCTTTTTGGGGAAATAAATGCATAGTCTGATTTCATACACTGCATAAAATAACATTTTCATCATTAAAGCGGCATTTGAAAGTCATCCTTTTATTTGTAATGGGGCTGTTCCTCTTCTTTGCTCTGCCAGGTCCATAGAGAAAGTGACTGTGCTACCATTTCCTGAAACTCACTTCTCTTTCCTCATTTCCAAACCACAGACCAACAGTTTATTGTTTACCTTCAGCTCAGATGAATATGCATGTTCGGTGATGACTAATCCGGCACAGCGAAACTCATAAAAATCCACTGTATATGATGTAATCATCTAAGGCACCTCTGCCATGGTCTTAGACCCATTGGGCACATTAACAGAACAGTGTAAATGTTTATAGAGCCCATTTAGGAGGTAGATACGTGTGAATAAACCTGCTGATCCAGGTAGGGAGAGTATGCAAATCAGGCTGATAGCTGATAGTTTATCACAGTGGAGGAATAGTTATGGCAAGAGGAACAAGAAACAAGGGATACAGTCTCTGTTTTTCAACCAGAGGTAGAACTACGGACAGAGACAAAGTGGATTTCACTAATAGAGACACCTTGGCACTCCCTCTGTTGTTGCTGTGTTGGTAAAATAAAACACCTGGCTTAAACAAACTGTTTTTGATTCCTGTGTGTATTTATTTCTCAGCTTAATACCTTTAAATCCTTAACAGTTTACAGTGAGCGCTGATGTGTCTGGAAGCAGACCAGGAATTTCAGATGGATTGAAAACATTCATTTTTCCGCTTGGTCGTTCCAAATTGGAGTGCCTGAATGGAAAAACTTTCGGAAGATACGGTTTATGATTGTTTGGCTTTTTTGATTTTTTAAAAAAAAAAAATGGTTTTAAAAAAAATAAAAATAAGGCTGAGCTTACAACTTTGGCATATATAATTACTTATTGAGGTTTCTATGTGATACTTCAGGGGAGTGATGACAGTATGAATGGGTGTGCAGGATGTGTGTTAGGCTCTAGTCACACAGGCCTGGACACTAGTTGGTGTCCAGTTGACAACAATTGGTCGTTAAAGAAAAATATGCATTTCATGACTGGTATTAATAGTTGCTTAACTATACCGTGCTCCATGGAAATTCTGCTTGCAATTGCTTTGGTTGCTAGCAGATTACCTGAGTTGCCACAGTTTGAGTGGAAGACAGCTACTTGCCTGCAACAAGTTGGAGACTCCTTTCAGAATTGCAGAAAAAAAAAACTGGGCCTTCATCAATTTCAATATTTTGTTTGTTTTTTGTTCTTATTTATTCCCCCGTTTGTCCTACAGAAATGACAAATAAATCTTAATTGATCTTAATTTCCCGGGTTTTGCTTCTTTCAGCTGTTCATCACAGTGTTGAAAAATAACTTGCACAAAACATTTGGTACAACAAATAAGTAACAGCCACTGATGGAGAGAAGAGAAGTAAGAAAGTCTGAGGAGGGCCGAATAACTTGAAATAAAAGAGAACCTTTTGCGAGGCAGATAAGCCATGGCATAGAGCTGGGCGATATAAGATTTTTTTTTTTCATATCACGATATGTTTTTTCATTTCAGGCGATAACGATATATATCACGATATAAGCCAAATAACTATATTTGTAAGATTTAAATGTGCCGTTGCTCACAAGTAAAATGTGAAATAATCAGCAGCTTGTTTTGATTTAAATATTTATTTCCCATAATAAGTTCAACAGGGTAGATGTACTTAAGGAACATGAGACTTTTTCAGATAAATAAAGGCAAATATTGCAAACTACACAAAAGGCAGCCGCTAAAGCGTTTAAGTTTCAAAATAGAACAAACGAAACAGAATAAATTGTCAATTCCACTTAGAAACAAAATATTAATTCTAAAAATAAATCTTAGTTTGTTTTACAGAAGATCAGACAAAATTGACTAACTTTTGTCAATATCAAATAAACTGAGAACTAAAAGGAAATTCTCAAGCTCTCCTTGTTGTATAGCTGAGCTTTTCAAACAGTTTTAACAGTTACTTTAGTCTGTCAAAAGCCGAATGACGAATTAGCGCTTCCAGTCAGAGACTGAGGCTACGTCCACACGTACACGGGTATTTTTGAAAACTGAGATTTTCCGTTTTCGTTTTAAAAAAATAATCCCGTCCACACATAAAGGCAGAAATGAAGGAAAACGCTGCTATGAACATGCCAAAGCAGCAGGTGGCGCTAGATTCCTAACCGTGCAGAAATGTTGGCCAATCAGAAGTCTAGAAGCCTCGGTGGGAAAAAGTAAACAAAGCTGGGGCATAGAAGCAGAACCGAGTCGTATGTGTGGAGGGACAGTAACTGTGTGTATATGTAAGCATTTAAACACTGCAGAGAGTAGAATTAACAGTAACAGTATTGTAGAAATTCATTTCACTGAAACAATAACGTGGCGCACAGTGTGACGCATGCACCAGTTTATTGTATTTCCAGACTTGCTTTCGGCACAATTTACAGTGCACGCTACTCTGTTTTTTGTCAGACTTGAAATAGCCGAAATACCTTCACACTACGGAACTTCTGTGGCTCTTCCGTTCGACAATCTCTCCGGCATTGGAACCGTCATCTGTTTTCTCTTCGGTAACCTTCGGTCACGCTCGGTAAATTTTTCTCTAGTCGGCACACTCATTTCCTCCATTACCGCTGGCTGCTTCCCAAACAAATACACATGTGCGGCACGTAACAAGTTACGTGACGTGACGCTGCGGCTGTGATTGGTTCGGCTCTGCGCAACTTAATTTGGATTGGCTGTTTTTGTTAAGAGGACAAGAGAGATGAGGCCTATCGCAATAGTTTAACTTTTCTATCGAGGAAAAGTTATTTCGCAATACATATCGTTATCATATCGCCCAACTCTACCATGGCATAATAATGCATCTTGCAGTGTAACATCACTTTAAGATGTTACACTGCAGAAAGACAGGAGGTTTAGTGAAAACTAATGTAAATACAAACTTTGTTTCCATTAAAGCTCCAAAGGTTTGAAGAGTAGTACTTGCACAGCGTGTTTTTCATTAAAGTGCATGTGTCTTTTTGTTTGGTCTCACAGTAACAGAATGGGGTGATGATGTGCGGCCGATCTCCGAGGAAGAAGCCATGGTCATCGTCAACCACCAATCAACAGGAGATGTGTGCACACTCATGATGTGCCTGCAAGACAAGGGAACGGTAAGAAAGGACAGGGATGTGTTGCTTTCTTGTCACCTCCCCTTGGGGGAAAGTGTGTAACACTGTTAAGGATGCACTGTCAACATCTTTACACAAAAAGCAGTGCGGACGTTTGGACCTGCGGGCTGTTCCTGTGAGAACAAACATCACCCTGAAAAGCCTTTTGGCTAAAATTATGTTAATTTGGAAACATAATTCTTGTCTCAATTCATCCTTAAGCATTTCACATTAATGTGGCTGTTGACTTTGTGCATCATGCCAGTTTTGAACGTTTCACCTCTGTTGTAGTAACTGAGGAAAGCGAGGACACACAGTGGTGTGCAGTGGGACACCACTTTAATAAACAAATAAATAAAAAACATGTTCTATTTATTAATTTATTTATTCATTGAAATGATTGCTGTGAGTCTGATTCGAACACAAATACAGGAGTCGGCCACTTTGAACAGCCCTTTTGATTACTGCATTAGAGAACTCCAGCTGTGAAGTGATCAAAATGACATTATATGAACACATAAAACAGCTAAAGTTGGATTTTTAAAAAATATTGTTAAAATGAATGCTGCAGGAAGCTCATACTATACACTCGTGCTGCCTGCTTAAGGCTTTCTTTGTGACTTCGTGAAATAATAATAGTAAGTTACTCCACGCTCACCTTTACCTGACATGTTTTACCGTAGCAAGCCAAAGTTGGTTTAATAGATTTATATGAGGAAAAACAAATGCCAGTTACCGGTAGTTGCATCATTTCGAGTCCGCCAGGTAACAGGATATCTTCCCTTTTTTTCTCCCCTCCCTCAACGTTTTCACTTCTTTGCTTATGTTGAGGCTGCTGACTTGTGGCAAGGTGGATGGTTAGTTTTATTTTTAGGCACTTTTCCTCTGTTAGCATCTTTAAAATGTGTTTAAGTTGGGTGAAAGTGATTATAACAATAAATCTAATCTGATAGTTCAGTCATTTTTGTTGTGAATCCCCCTGCGATTTAATTTTGGAACTTTGTGTTTTAACTCGCTGTGAGGAGCTTCCATGATAACATGATTTGGTATGTGGCTGTGAGGTGCGCAGTCAACAACTGCTGCCAGAATGGCATAAATTATGGCACCAAGATGTGAACTCTCCTAACCCTGCAACTATTTACTTGTTTGTGTGTTGCCAAACAGACCAGTGGACATGCTTGAGGCTAACCAGCTGGTCACCGATCAGAACAGAGGATGCTGAAAATGAGTGGATGTTGCTTGACTTGTAAATTAGTCATCAGGAACACCCCCAATTTTACCTGTCTAGTCCGCTGCTAACGTCACAATAAAAATTGTTTTTGACCGCTACAGGAAATTTTCCCTATGAATTCTTAGTGATGTTTAGTGAATTCCAGCGTTAAGTGTTTTCAAACTACTGTTGTACTGTGTTAATAGATTCATGCTTTGAGTTTTCATAGCACTAAGGGGAATGTGTTTATTATCTCCTTGAGAAAGAGCAATAGTGATGGGAGTGTGCAGATGCTGGCTCTCTTGCATTTTTCCACACCGATCACTGTAAACATACAGGGAAGTGTAATGTCAGTGCACATGCACACCTATTCCTCCAGGAGTAATAACTAACCTCAGTCAACATGTGTTTAGTTAAATGTATGTCATGCCTGCGTTCTTATAGGACTCCTGTTAATTGGCTAGCACTATAAAAATCAATGCAGAGGGCAGTGTTGTTGTTTTCCCTTTTTTATTTATTTTTTTGCCGAGAGCTGGCATTGGATCGGGGCAGCCGAGCTACACTGCACAAACATGATGACATGATTCGCCTCAACAACCGCATCCCGGCCCACTTTATCCGCTTAGCACTGAAAGGACAGTAAGCCAAAGCCACATGGGTGCAGGTCACGAGGGCAGAAATACTCAGAGGGGCAGCATCAGTTTGTGCTGTTCACGTAAACTCTGCTTATTTAATTTCTTTTTTTGTTTTTTATTTAAATGATTATTAATTTTTTCTTTCTTGCAGGTGGTACGAAAAATGATGTGGCTGATGGACCACGTGTTTAAATACACCAACTTTGGCCTAGTGTCCTTGATCCATGGGGACTTCTTCATTAGACAGGTAAGTAGCCCAAAATCTGGAGGTCTTACTTTTATCTTTACTTTTGACTTTAATATGTTTTTTTTCTTCTCTTTGGTTGTTGTCAGCATTAACACAGTCTGCTTCACATTCTTAGCCTATTTTTTTTTTTTTTTTTTTTTAAATTGGCATATTAGCCTCAAAGCTTGCAGAAACACTTTTTTGCCAAAGGATAAAAGTCTGTTTTTCCACACTTGTCAACACCTTGTTTTCTTCCCCTGAAGTTCTGAGAGTTCAAACCACAGAGCTTTGAAGTCGCAACCCATCTCATTAAACCCCAGTTACTAGAAGCCTGTTATTTCTGCGCTGTCCACAAGTGAAGCTGCTATCCATCTGCTTGTTCCAGCTGGACAGCAGATATGTTAGCAGGCTTTCCTGCAGCCATGGTGTCCCGAGAAGGGGAAAATGTCAGCAGAGAGTGGTGTGGGAGGCCTGCTGAGCCCCTCTGGGTCAGACTGGGCTCTTTTGTTGTGGGGGCAGCTGAAGCAGAGCTCTGACAGGACTACACACACATCCTACAGGGCTCTGACTGGCCAGGGAATTCTTGGAATATCATGCAAGTTTGAGAGGTTAATTTTAGGCAAGATTTGTGCTAAACTCATTAGTGTCAGTGATACACTTACACAAAACCAAGGGGACATCTATTAGATATCAACTACAACAGCACAGCACATCTATATTGTGGCAATTTCCAAGTTTTACCAAAAAATGGGACGTGAGCATCTTGATATCACAATGATGAAAACCACGAGAGAGGACGGGCTACACAAATGCAAAAGCTTAAGTACACACAGAGAGGCAAGCGACAGCAAAGAAGGGGCAAGACAACAAAATAATCGCAAATATAAAAAGAGGTGTACATCTAGTGAATGTAGATTAGTCATGAAACATAATGTAGTGATCTGCAATAGTATTATTTAGTTGCATTATTTCTGACTAAAAATAAGCTTTTAAAAAGGTTTTTCTAAAGACAAAGCAGATTTTTCATGATAGGCATTCAGTCATGAAATTGAAGCCATATATTCATATTCATCACCCAGACTATCGTACCCCTGTGTCCCAGAGTACACAGGATGTAATAAACATTTATCGGGTTACATAAACATTTGTTGCCTTGGATGTTAGAAATCAGCACGTTTAACTTCACTGAGTAAATAAAGCCGGTGAACCTAAACGGCACTAGCTTCCAACTGGACAAAATCTCGGAGGTCATGACTTAATATTAAACAGAAGCGCTGCTGAGGGGCTGTCTGTGTTGATCCACATTTGTTTTGTTGAATGAGAAGGCTCCCACGCTCCTCACGCTTATCATGCTGTTGTTGCACTTTCTGAGCTGAGCAGAAATGCCCTGACAAGAGGGAATTAAATTTTTTAGGTCATGGAAATGCATTGCCGTGGAATTTCACATCAGCCACCGTGCCGAGGGTGAAGCAACCCGAGCCTGCTAACAGCCAGCTGGACAGGCCGTAGTAGGAAGTCTGAGCGGGCTCAGTCATTTCTGCCGCCCTCGTCTCTCTCTGAAGTCCCCTCTGGCATTCCTGCGCGTGCATTCTTGACATCCTTCCTCAGAATCTTTCACACATCCACACAGTGCAGCAAGCAGCTGCCCCGGCCACCCTGAGCATCTGCTGTCCACCCAGGCTGCCAGACGTGTCTCAGACATTGTTATGCAAAACACAATCCACCATTCCTTAAAGTAGGGGTGAGCGATATAAACGATATACGATATAAACGATATAAATTTGGCCAACGATAGAGATTTTGACTATATCGCTCTATCGCGATAGCGCATGTTGACGATGTCATCAAGCTGCGCCTGTCTTGGTCGAAAGCATCACAGCGGCTAAAACCATTATCATCTGCAAATTATGGTGGGCGACAGTCACAGCAAAGAGATGAAGCACTTTTGAAATATGGGGAAAGCCAAAAACTGTGCTTCCTCCACTTCCGTAACATCGATTCATTAGTGTTGAATTCTCTTGCAGCTGTTCTTGTCCCGTGTTGTTGCAGTATATTAATAACTAACCTTGTATTGTGGATGCATAATCTCAGTTGTTCTCCTGACTGAAGTTTGGCCCGTGTATAGCATCCTGCTATGTGATTGCATTTGTCCCTGACCACCAGAACCCCCCACGTTAACTTTTATCGAGTGGAAAAAGAGTTGGCGTTCATCCTCCAGCTTCACTGTGCTAATGTTATGCTAACATAGCTGTGTCGCTAGCAATCATGTAGCACAACATTATATACCAGGTAGTCCAACTTCAGTAACCCTGCAAACGCCACTGCTGTTTAGTCTTCTGTCTTCATTTATATTGGAAGTGGTAGCAGAGCTGTACGTTTTAATTAGTTTCAAAAATCTCTGTCAGAACATGGTATGAAATGTTTAGGTGTAAACTAGCGAGCTAACTTCCTGTTAACTTCTAACTCCGTTAAATTTAATAAATTATGTTTTCATGGATGCCTGGATGTTAAACTTAATTGTTACACCCGATAAAGCAGCAACGCTGATGATTTAATTAAAGATGAAAGAATTTAGATCGTTTTTAACTCTTAGTGTTTGTTTGACTTTGGGACCTGAAGAGGACTGAGTTTTGGACACAGATTACTCCGCGAAGCAACTCACTACGGCAGCCATAATGCTCTGACAATCCATCAAACAGTGCAGCTTACCAAAGTTGTACTAAAACATTTTTTAACAGATTTCTGCACGCCCAAATCGGTTCGAGGTCAGTAAGCACAACCAGAATTCATACATAAGGCACACTCTTGATTTTTGAGAAAATTAAAGGATTTTAAGTGTGCCTTATAGTGTGGAAAATACGTTATATAGAAGAAAAGAATATATTGTGATATCTATCGCTACCACACATGCTTCAAATTATATCGCGATATGAATTTTAGGCCATATTGGACTATAAACTGTATGGTGGTAATAAGAACTTATCTAGTCTAGCGCAATGGCTCCTCAATTAACCCAGTTTTAACCCTTATGAAGATGGTGTCATTTAGAGCTGCACTATTGTTTGCTTTAGTTTATCTCAGTGGACCCGATAAACTGGCAAGTGAGTAAATACTTGACTAAAGCCTGTGGGAGGGTAGCTAAAACAAAGCTGAGACAGGTGGAGTACATTAGTTTCATTTATAAATTCAGCTGCTGAATATTGAGTCACATCAAACCCCAAATCTAAATGTAATATTATCCTGTAATAATTTAGTTTTATTTATTTAGCAGTAGTTCACAACACCAGCCATCTCAGGTTGCTTTGTAAGGTACACACCGTATTAGAGAGATAGGGAGAATGAGCCTACGCTCTTGGTGACAGGGAAACCAAAGAACGCCCTTTTAACAGGAAGAGTAGGGAGGGGGAGAGAAGCATAGAGAGATGAGAAATGTGTTGTAAATATGAATGTAGCCAACATGAGGTCACATATTGGATTTGAGCTCCATAAATTGAAGCCTCAACTTTAGCATTTTTGCCACCACAATGTTGGTTTCTTGGAGCTAGACGTGACCTTGAATAGGAAAGTAGTGTTAGTTTATCAGGAAATGCTATCATCTCTGTTAAAAAGCAGCTTCCATAAACTGTACAGGTGCAGTGCATACATGACCAAGATCCTAGAACTTTATTCATCAGAACTGAAGCACAAACATTTAGGCAGGCTGCAGTCCGTATCTCACAGCGAGCCATTTTATTAGTCAGTAAATTAAATCAAAATGCCAAAAGGCTTCAGCAGCTTGGGTGTGATTTGATCTGCTGTGCATGTGCATACAGTCTGTCCTGTCCTAAAGGCTAAAGAAATCAAAAAGATTAAAATTAAAAGCTCCAGTAGAAGCCAACAGCACAAACTTGGTGGTCAAGTTCAGTAACTAGCAAACAACAATTCATGCTATCGAAGTTGGGACACTTGTGCCAAATGGTCGTATCCCTAATTCTGGCATTATTAAAATAAATAAATCCCCTATAGAGTTATGAAGGGGTAATTATCCATAGAAGCAAAAAATATTTTCTGTATCTTGAAGTTAATGTGTTTTTAATAGCCCATCAGCCTTTCTCTGAACATCTTCAAGTTTAACTTGAAGCAAAAATGCCAGATAGCACAGCAACTGACAGACGTATTTATTTACTGCTGCCAGAATGGCATAAATTATGGCACCAAGACATGAATTCTCCTAACCCTGCCTTACTGGGGAAATCCTCGCTTCTCCACAGAAACCCTGACTGTCAGTAGCAGCCCCTTTTTAACTCTAGGAATGGTTTACCTGACATTGGAACTTGGCCAACTGTAGTGTTATGGCACAACAATAATGTGACACATTGATACTACCAGAACCTTTCTGGTCCTACACTGTCAAGTCACAAAATGTACAATGAACAATTTCTTGTTCTTCACCTTTTAGCTGCAATATTTACCCATCCAGGTCGAAAATAGGTCCATATTTAGGCCATATAGGTCCAGGTCCATATTTTGAAAACTTTTATTTTGAGCACATTGTCCACTTGTCAATGGGTTAGAGCAGCGGTCCCCAACCTTTTTTGCGCCACGGACCGGTTTATGCCCGACAATATTTTCACGGACCGGCCTTTAAGGTGTCGCAGATATATACAACAAAATAAAACTAGTACCGGTACCGAAAAAATAAGATTTATTCATAAGGCACGTGAAAAGACCCAGGAGAACCAAGTTAACGATAAAATCGATAACAAAATAACCCTGAAAACCATACATTTCACACCTGAGCCTCAACTCTTGCGGCCTGGTACCAAACGACTCACGGACCGGTACCGGTCCGAGGCCCAGGGGTTGGGGACCCCAGGGTTAGAGGTTTGATCCCAAAGTGTTCTTGGGCAAGATTTAACCAAAGATTGGTTCCAGTAATAGACCGGCACCTTGCACGTGTGTTTCTCTTTAAATTGGAAAAACCTGAGTAAGTGCTTTGTGAGAAAGCTGCTGTATGCTTGCAGATCATTCCCTTTGCCCACTGCACCGTAACTCTAAAAGCAACATCGTGGACTATACTCTTCATTTTCATGTGGCTCTTGTAGCTGCTGTTAAACTACATCAACGGTATCAAGGTCATTTTTGAGCTTGTGATGTGTGGAGTCTCCTAATGCCTTTCTACCTCTGGAAATCAGCATTTGTAGCTGCCGCTAAGAATAAATCTTGAAATGACCTTCTTGGCCGAATACTCGGCTGTAGCTGTTGTGATGCAGCAGTTGTAGTAGGCACAGCTGCTTAAATAAACACATGTGCTCACAGAGAGCAGCTTGCTGTCCTAATGCATTTAAAATGAACTTTGACCAGGCCTAACATAAAAATCAATCCCGGTCCTCCTCATCCTGTTCCTGCTAATGCTCTTAATGTTGTCAAGGCCATCATGTTTGCATCCATTTCGGTGGTGCCGTTAATGCGGCTCGGGGAGTTACTGCACCTAACTTGTGATTTGTGTGTGTTTGAATTCATTTGCTTAGTCGGTTCTGCTCTGTCGAAAATGCTTTCTATCTTATCAAGTTAATGAACTTAGGGTGTAGCCCCAAATTTTTTGTATCCTTGGGGCAACTAGTGAAGAGAACTGCTTATTTTAAATGCGGTCAGCCCATTTTAAGTTGAATTTTTAGGTTGAAAAATAGACCTGAAACCTCTTTTGAAAATAAATGCTTATTTTCTGTGTTTCTTCAGGGTAAAGCTCACCGAGACAAGCAGCTGGTTTACCTGAAAGAGCACCTAGATAAATACTACCACAGCCGTGACAGGAAGTGGATAGTGCTGTTTCCTGAGGGCGGCTTTCTTCGCAAGAGGCGGGAAACGAGCCAGTTGTTCGCCAAGAAGCACTCGCTCCCCCATCTGACCCACGTCACTTTGCCTCGTCTCGGGGCCAGCCACGTCATACTGAAAACTCTGGGAGCCCAGCAGGAGAACGGCAGTGTGGGCGGCGACACCAGCATGCTGAACACGACAGGTAACTAAAACACACACATGGGAAAAGCCTTTGGTTTAAAGTGAGACAAACTGATATAGAAACTGTTAGTTTAGACTTGGTGCCAAGGCTGAAGGTGTTCTTTGAAAGTGCAGGATTTTATCTCAGGAAGTTTTCTGGGGTTTAAAAAGCAGAGTCTGGATAAAGTTGTTTCTCCCTTTTTTTTTTTTTTTTTTTTTCTTGGTTTCTGTGAACTCTCTCCCGTTTACTGTAGTTATTTGATTTTTTTTTTTTTGGTAGAAAAGCTGGGATAAATCATGCCTCAAATATGAAACCTTAGATCATTACCTCTGCACGTCTCTGTCCTTTAAACTGTAGACGACTGGTGGTAAAGACCACCAGTAGGGCTGGGCGATATGACCCAAAATTCATATCTCGATATTTTTTACCTAGACGGCGATATAAGATATCGATTTTTTTTTTTATTTATTTATTTTTTTAAAGCCATAAAGTAAGAACAAAAATAGAGTTCTTAGTCAAAGCTGTGTCCCAGATGTCACACAGGCACTTTTCTTAACATAGAGCAGATGTACATAAAATTTACTCAAAAATAAATTATGAGCATTTATTAAATAATAATGCTCCATAAATAAAAGAAAACAATGTTGTTTTTGTGCATAACAAAAAGCTCACAATTGTGCAGTCACAATGTAAACTAAAAGACAATGAGCATAATAACAAAGACAGATTTCACAGCTGCTCTGTTCCCAACTTCTACTGTGTGACTGACAGCATTGAGTTTGAAATCCTCTTCGTAACCACGTCTCTTAACAGGTGCCATTTATGGTCCCTATACACAGTAAGGTAATATTACGTTGAAGCACAGTACGTATCACTCCGTGAGGCTCCTCGGTAGCCGTAATGCTCTGACAATCCATCAAGCGGTGCAGCTCCGTAGCTTACCAAAGTCGTACTAAAACATTTTTTGACAGATTGCTGAGTGCCGTGTTCCACATAAAATCGGTTCGCGGCCATCAAGCACAACCAGAATTCATACATAAGGCGCGCTGTCAACTTTTGAGAAAATGAAAGGATTTTAGTCCGTGGAGCACCTCTGGGCTGCATGGCGTTAGCGTGGTTAGCTCATTAGCGTGGTTAGCTAGTTAACACGTTGAAGCCGTCCAGCCCCACGCACGGGTTGATGCGCAGTAACTCGTTAACGGAGATTTCCCGTGTCCATCTTGTCGCTTCCTGCAGGTGAAGCGATGGGGAAGGAGAGGCGAGGCTGAGTAACGTTGCGTCAAGACAAAAGTGGACGAAAGAGAGGCAAACTTGCGGCTATATAGTTATAATGTAACATAGACTATATCGATATAAAAGATATTGTCACATCTTATATCTCGTATAAAAATATATCGATATTTTTTAAAAACTCGATATATCGCCCAGCTCTAACCACCAGTGAAGGAAAGGACTGACACGCACAGAGGTGCCAGAAATTGCATCAGTATCCCTGAAAACCCCAGCCGTGATTTGCAGGGGAGTAATTTTTCTGTCTAGAGACCAGCCCTAAATACAGCCAATGAAGAGGATGATAATGCAGCAATTAACAAGCTTTGAGGGTGAAAATTTATTTATTTATTTTTAACTTTATTAAAATTTGTAACAAATTTTATTTGTCAAGCGTAACTTTATTCTGTTTTCCCAGTGGCTCCTATGGGTCACAATAAGCTAATGTTGATTTTTTTTTTTACATACTGCTGGGTAAGCTGACCTGGAGTATTATAGCACATATGGTCATTTCATCTCAAATCAAGCAATTTGTGGAACATCTATCCCAAAAATCGGATGCAATATTTGAAAGTGGATCAAAAGACAGTTTAACAAAACACAATAACAGTTAAAAAAAAAAAATGTTAAAGGATTCGTATATGAAGCTACAATTTCACAGCATTGTTCAGACTTTGCATCATAAAATTTTTATGCATATCAGAGACGGTTTAGCAGAAGGCTTGGTTAAATTCAGATGGAGTGACCCTATATAAAGAGTTGAACTTTCACCTGACATGTGAAAGTTCCTAAATTGATACCAGCAGGAGAGACAAATTGCTGGGAGCTTTGTGTCTGTTATTTATTTATTTATTTATTTATTTATTTGTTTTAAAAATGTGATAAATATGCTGATCCACCTGCTGTTGGGATCACAATTACAGCCACAGTAGTTTATTATTACTTTGATGTGAATACTATAAATGTGTATTTCTAATTGGTAACTAAATCTGTAAAATAAATGTAGCAGAGTAAATGCTGTGCAGTTTTTAACCTATGCTAGCTGTGGGTATCATGACGTGAACATGGGATGGCTGCTGTGGGCTGCTGCAGATTTAAGGGTCACAGCAAACTAAACAAGTAGTTTGTGTGCATATACAGTTTGTGTTTTTGCTTTGTGGATGGGAGCAGCTGAAAAAAATCACTTTTCTTCATATTTAAGCTTTTTGAACCTTCGAAATTGGATAAGCAGGGAAGTTAGATGGGTTTAATATTTAACTCTTGTTGTCTTTTACTTGCAAATTTTTGAACTACATTTAACAAGCATCGTATATTGTAGAAAAACATGATCTGGGTCCATTGTTTCTGTATGGACACACTGCAGCTCCACCATAAACTACGCCTCTGGTCATCTTTACTGTTGTAATGTTATTAACTTTTATGTTGAGAAATAATTTTTAGTTGAGAAGGGAGTGAAACCGTCATGCTGTTGAATCCTGTTCCCCCCCCCCTAGTGGCTCCTTCCTGCTGTGGCTTCCATGATAAGTTTAATCCGGTTACTTTTAGTGGCCTTTAAGTTTTCCTTTAATGTGTCACTCACCTACCTTTTTGTACCTATGGATATATGCAGATCACAGTGTGCCTGTGTGACATTTTTGGAGTGCAGGAAATGAATTTGTCTATCTTTTCTAGAAGAAATATCTTTCATATTACAGTTAAGATATTAGTTTGATCATTACAGATACCACCACTACAGTGTCCACCCATTGTACAAATCTAGGAGGTTCCAGTTTTTCCAGATGTGCAGGTAACTTCTTACTGCCATCAAAGTACTTCTAAAAGAAAGAAGCCATATTTGGTTTGCTGGGACAAAGCACTGCAATGTCTGACCTGTCAGTTTTTCTATACAGCAATTTTGCTTAAAAAAAAAACAACCCATAAATGAATCGATACTGAATGTATCAATTAGGCTCCTCCCACCAGCTTCCAGTGGAGGCTGTGCTATTGCTCAAGTATAACCAAGAAACAGTGGATCATCATTACAATAACAGGGAGGGAAACATGCCTGCAACTACATGCAGAAATTGTTGTAAAACTCTAGTGTGGACTTGCATCAATGCAACTACACGATTTGCTCACATTTCCTGTTCAGTTGTTGATGGGCTCTTTGGGGTGAGGGGTGTGACAGGTGTCATCTTTGCTGCTGCTGACTTCTCCCATAGATTTCCTTTTTTGATTTGTTGAGGGTCTTGTCTCTCTCCTGTAATGTTTTTACTACCAATTCCACCTCAATCAGTCCAAGACGCAACTTCATACTGCCCTCAGGGATCAATCCTCTAACATGTACCCATAATAAACTCTTATAATTAAATACATATTCTCCCAATGTTTCCTTAACACATGACCAAGAAATATGAGGATAAATTAAATGATTTATTTATGTATGTATTTATTATTATTATATTTATAATTCATGAAATCTAGTCTTACCAATCCTTTCTCAATTTGGGCCCTATTTCAGGAGGACCCACTTAAATCTGCTCTGTGGACTAATATTGGAATACATGTTTTGTTTTTTACTCAGCAAATTTATCCAGATAACTCAGTAAATCTGCTGCTTGGAGCAGTCCTCAGCAAAAAGAAGGCATTAAAACAGCGATAAATGTAAAGCTTCAACGAGTCTCCCCCCCAATGCCTGTGTACGCTGCACACTCAGTGTCGACCCAGCGGACTCTTCTTGGCTTTCGTTCAGAATCCATTTACGGGGGTTTGGTGTTAATAGCAAATTGGAGGGACTTTGAGCCAGCATTATTGAGAATGTGGCCCAGACTTTAGCCTTCCTCAAGTTTGCTAGCGCAGCTCTGTGTCCTACAGCCTCAGCACTAACAGCAAGATGCTGTCTGATTACTCCTCTGCAGGACAGACACTCAGACTGAAGATGAGGTGTCTCTTGATTGGCCACTGTAAAATTTAAATGAGTACAGCAGCTTTATTTACATACTGACGGTGCTAAATGTGCATTTTTTTAATGCACCGGTCTGATTAAGTTCAAAATATTTACTGCGTTAACAAACGTAGGTGTGTGCAGAGGTTTTTGTGTTTATAATCTCCATCAAGGCAAACTATTACGAACGTTTTTTAAGCATTTTAGGCACGTCAGTCTTATTCATGTGTAATCGTGCATTATAATTTGACCTTGCTGTACATCCAGTTCATATCCTCGTTCATGTTATGTCCTTTCCTCTGTTCCAGCAGCTCAGGAGGAGGGAAGCTGGTTGTTGCAGCAGGGCTTGTCCTTCCACTTAAATCTAGCTAATGGCATTAAAACATAGGGCAAGAAAATACACATGCCCAAAGGAGCGTTGTGTCCCTCACTACCCTGTGCTCTTCATTTGTGTATGTGTGTGTGGCTGTCTGATGAAAGACACAGTTCTGTCTCCCTCTGACCCTCACTGATGCTCTGCAGAGGTACCCAGAGCTCGCTGACTCACTCGGAAACAACCGGGCCACTTGGAGAAAATGGGATTTGATGCAGCCATGCAATGTCACCCGGGCTGAAAATGCCACTCGGTGCAAACACAAAGATTAGCACAGCTCTGTGGAAAGGGCTGTCCCTTGGACCAGTAAGGTGTGTGTCATAAAACTGTATTTACAGTTGCCAGGAAACAAAGTTCGCCATTGTGAGTCATTTAGGGTGGGTCATTAGGGAGCTCCTAATCACCCAAAAGTCAACATGTTCGATAACACCAAAAGTGGTTAAATCCACTTTTCAGTCAGTAGGATAGACAGACAGTTGTAGGCTTAAAGTGCAGCAATTTGGCCTGAGGAGTGGCCTCAAAGAGAGACAGTGTTTCCTTCCTCAAATTGTTTACCAAAGGATGGGGCCTATCTGTTGTCATTTTAAATTACCGTGGCCGGTGCTGTTACACTATTGTGTGCCACAGCATATAGGGTGCCAACAATACTTTGGCTCAGGGCCCCATTCTTTGACCAGCCATTCACGGGAGACTGATAGAGAAGGGATCCAGTTACCCACACAGGGATAACTGACGTTAGCTATTTCCATTAATACCAAGGATGCCTGTCAAGTCACTAATATTGGTATGAATCAGTCGACTTGCTCCTCAGCTGCTTCTTTCTGTCTTCTGTCTGGTGTTGAAACTATAGAAACAGAGGTGCGTACTCTTAAAGGTCAAGCTTTCTACGCACTCGTCTCTTATCTAGATTCATAGAAGTGTAGACAACCTTTGTAATCAGTTATATTGTCCCAGCTGCCCAGAAGAAATCCAGTAACCCCCACTGATGGGCCCGCATATATATCCTCCACAGTTTACAGGTTCCCTGCAGGTCACTGATGTCTGCAGATTAGGGGTTGATAAATTAAATTAATTACCAACATGAATAGGTGACACCTTCACATTTAAAAAAAGGTTACTTAACAAACACAACAGAATGTTTCTCGACTCTGTGTGGATGACATGTATATAATTAGACAGTTGTTTCAATAAATATTTGAAAGCAGTACCCAAGCCTTGCTTCATCACATATCACTTTACATTAATAGTGACTTTACACCATAATGCGGTGCATCATCTTCGTCCTTTTCTCACCCCACATGCCACTGCCTGTTCACAGCCTTGTTACTTCCCGGATCGACTACTGCAACTCTCTTCTTTTTGGTCTTACTCAAAAATCCATCCACAAGCTCCAACGCGTCCAGAACTCTGCTGCTCTTATTATCACCAGGACCCCTTCTATCCATCACATCACGCCTGTCCTGCAGCAGCTTCATTGGCTCCTGGTCAAATATCACATCAATTTCAAAATACTGTTGTTCACATTTAAGACTATTCATCATCTCTCCCCTCCATACCTCCATCCCATCTCGGTGTCTGAGATCTTCTTCTCTTTCTCTCTCTGTCCCCTCTCCCCATCTTGCCACCATGGGGAGCATTTGTTTTATGTCTTATGCTTTTATGATTGTGTAAACGGCTTTCTTTTATGTTGCTTTTATTATTCTGCTGTGTACAGTTTCCTTGAGTGCTTTGAAAGGCGCTTTAAAAGAAAATTTATTATTATTATTATTATTATTATTATTATTAATAAAGTTCACCAGAATGCAGACAATTAAAAGCTCAACATTCAAAATGCCAAAAACTCAAACATCAACTTTGACACAGGTTATTTCTTCAGCTCTGCAGTGTTTATAATGGTCTTTACTCTGCCAAGCCTCAGTGGCAGTAGAAATACCATTGTAAAATTGCATTTATTATTATTATTTATTTATTTTTTTAAAAAAAAGACCTTTATTTCCTTTTACAGTTTACATGGTACACATCATTTGAATGACTGTTACTGAAACTGAAGCATATCTGGATGCCTTTTATCTGGGTAACCCATTCAATCCTGTTAGTGTTTTACCACTTTGTGCTGATCATTCATACTTCTCACACCCGAACAACAGGAGCAGTTAAACTTTTGGACACTGTGATGTTTTTGTTTTGTTTTTTCATCATGTCAGATTTTTGCTGGTATTTTATTAAATCCATTTTTTTTCCCTTTTAGCAGTGAAATGCTTCCCGAGCCTTTGCCTGCAACACAAGCCCAAACTAATGCACCCCTATATTTAACAGTTGAGGAGGGCTATTCTCTTCATAAAATTCTTCTTTTCTGAATATTTGTTTCCTCATAGTCACTGCAAAAAATAGATATTTTTCCACTTCAGTCTTGTTTCGAGGTGGGAATGCCTCTTCTGTGACGCTGATTTGTGCCGATGGCGTAGCGTTGTAAAATGGTACAATCTTTCTGGTAGTATTCTGCAGTCAAACAGGAGTACACCCTAGAAGAAACACTGGCTTGATTGTCTCTGGGGGCAGCTAAACTTTTGCTGTGTGATAATTAAACTTTTTGCAGTTCACAAGGAAAATTAAACATAGATGTTTAAATTTTAAATGCCTACCTTTTGGCAATTTAGTTTGTAGAATTTGCCAACATATCTAGAGTAACGGGTCAACATAACCTGTTCCTGTCAACATAACCTTATTGATTTGTACTGACCTGACAGGTCACCTAAACAAGAGCAACACGTGAAGTGTAACTGTCTGTACTCCACTTGATAACGTCTCTGCTGCACTTTTTAACTCCCTTTCCCTGCTTTTCTCTGCATTTTGTTCCCATCATTTATAACTAGTTTGCATTATTTCCCTTTTTTCTAACTGCTGTAGTCAGTCATCTGTAAAATTTAGCTCCAGTTTGTGACACGGCATATTTACTTCCCATAAAGACGCCAGTGTGTTCTGAGGGGGAAGTGCTTGCTGCACAGTAACAGCAGACAGGACTGCGACCTTAGCAGTCAAATATGCTGCACTGCTCCACGTCAGCTTTGCTTTACAGCTCAGACTGCTGGTCTCCTCTGTTTTACATTTGACAAGCCTGTTCCGAGTATTAGCTTAAGGGAAAGCACTTTTTCACACCATCATCTTATGTTTTGCAGTCCCGTTAACTTAATTTGATTCCCAGTGTCAGTTGTTGTTTTCAACTTCTTCGTTGTGTAGTGATGGAAGAAGCAGGTTGAGGACATGTTGAGACTGGCTTGTGTTTTGCTCTCTCTGCTTTTTTTTTTTTTTTTCTTTTTTTTTTCCTAGAAGGAACACAGGGTGGAAGGCTTCACATCGCTGTAATGTTAGTCATATCCAAACCTGTAATAACAAGAAGCAGGAAGTTGAGTGTAGGTTCGACAAATTGGCCTTACACACATCACTTAATTTATTTTATTGTCTTTGTGATTATGAGCAGGTGAGCACAGACTTGACCCTGCTTAATGCAACTAAATACTCACCCACATGCACCCTGCAGCTGACTCCCAGATTTAATCGCATGTCTGGCATTCCCTCCCCCATCTGTCGTCCCCCGCTTTCCCGTCTATTTTTTTTTCCTCTTGCCTTTTCCATTAAAACTAAAAGTAACAACAACAGTAAGAGTTCGCTGATAGAAAAACATGTTATGAAAGATTAGCTGTAGAGGTGAAAATGTTTCCTTTGCTATGACTCACAAACATAGCTGCCAGCCAAGTTCTGTCAAACAGGGACTTCAGCTGGTACTCCACCAGTCTTTTTGGCAGGTAACCAGCCCTAATTTGCATGCTTTGGTATTTTATTTAGGAAACCTTCTGATTACAGATACGGTCTTAAAGCGGAAAAATCAGGATGATCTCAGCTATTGAAGTGTCAGTGAACGTTTTTGGATGACTGATTTTATCCAGTTCTTCTCACTTTCTGCGTTTGTGTTTCTTCCCTGGCAGCTAATAAACGTAAAGGCTTGCAGTGGGTTATAGACATGACCATAGCGTACCCCAAAGCAAGACCGATGGACATCCAGACCTGGATCTTTGGCTACAGGCCTCCTACAGTCACACATGTACATTACAGGTAAGAATTAAATGTTGGATCGTTAAACTCTCCATTTACCTTTAGCATTTTCACATGAGATGCAGGGAACAGTAAACTAATCTGTCACATTCACAGGAGGGAAAACAGAACCACAATGCAAATGTACTTTGCAGCACGCGTGCAGCAAAGACTTTGTCGCATGAAAATCACATTACATCACAAAATCAGACAGCGCAATGTAGGGAGAGGCCCATGTTGCTGAATCTTGAACATGTTAGTTGTTAATTGAAGTGCTGTTGTCATATGCACACCGCACAGTTGTTACACTATTTTGTCAGTCTCCCTTCTGCCAGTGCAGTTATAAAAATCCTAATACGCATATTAACACTAAAATAAATACAAAGTTACGCCTGTGTCGGCAGAGAGAGTTGATCAGCCACAGTGTTACTGTGCTTGTTGTGTTTTCAGGTCATTATTTAAGGTCAGTTCTGTCATTCAGTTCACATAGGCCGCCTCCTTATGTCTTCCCAGCAAACAAAAGTTGTTGTTTTTTCTTTTTTAACATAATAAAAATAAGCTTGAAATCAAGTCACTTAAGCTATAAATGCACTGGTATCAGACATTTAATGTCTATCTTAAGATGTTCAGGGATTTTTATTTATTTCCCTAAAGCTATTAAATTTGCTGATTTAGCTCATCAGGCTGCTGTTCACATTTCTGTTTGAGTTTTTTTTTGTGTTGTTTTGTTTTTAAAGTGTGAAAGGGTTAGGAAACTTTAAAAAATAAAACCTTAAAACTAACAGCCAGAAGAATGTTAGCATTCAGATCCAGTTGTACCTGTTCAGCTGTTATCCATCCACTTGTGATTGTAAATTTGAGAGCACTGAATTTCACATTGTTTTTTTGTGTGTATTGTAAGTTGTGTATTTTGTAATACTCTTTACTCTTCACTTTGGGTAAAGAGTATTACGTATTTACTCCCTATAGAAAGTAGTTTGTTGCACCACCTTTGTATTACTTTTGTATTATTCTGTATTAGCACCTTCAGAATTAACAGTTGCAATCGTGTACATTAACTTTTTATATGCACACACATCATGCAAATCCCCAATTTAGTAAAGAAAACTGTTGTCAGTGTTTCCACTGTAGAAACAAGTACAGGTGCTAATGTACACCTGTTCATGTTTGCATTTGCTGCCTGATGGAAGTCAGCCTGCCTGTCTGGTTTGGGTCAGATGCTGCCCTTTATCATCACTCTGAACCTGAGGCCTCGCTGCTAGCATGGTCTTTGCAGGTGCTTGCATAGCTTTGATGTAGCATTGGCAGCTGAGCATGTTTTGCTCTTTACTGTCACATTCTTGACCCTTCGTTCTTTACTTCTCATCATTCTTTGAGTGTTGTAGCTGGTGCTCTTATTTTAGTCCCGACTCCCACATAAATTTATGTCAAGCAAGTGTTTTGAGAGGTTTATTTCTTTCTCTTTTTCCCTTTTTTTTTTTTTTTTTTTTTTTTTTTTTTTTTTGAGGGAGGGTCCAGCCATCGTACAGATAATAATGAACTTAAGCTGGTTGCATATGTATGTTCAACTCTGTTTGGATTGGCAGATGGCTTGTGCTGATTTCTTTTCCTACTAAAGATAGGAAATCAACTCTTTGGTGTCTTTTTACACCGAATTATGCTCACTGTTCTCACTTTAAAGAAGTGCAGTATGCACCAAAAGTGACATCACAGCTACTGGTACACATACCACTTGTGCATCTTTTCGACTGGTTGTTCACATTTCAATTTTGAGCTCGTCCTGATGAAAGATGGCTCAGCTTAAACCACATCAAGGAGTCGACCTGTCCACAATGCACAAATGAAACTTGCACACAATTACCACCTGATGGATCTTCGCCCAAATTGTGCTCGAGGTTAAATTTGTAATTTAATGTGCAATAACCTGTGAAATGTGATGAATTGTGAGCTGGATGAAGTACTACGTCGTTCTGGTTGTAAATTGGAAAACATGTCTTAGTTGGAGGCACGAGTGTGCGATCGAGTTGGTCTTTATTGCCACTTAAATGTCATTTTAGTACAGAAGCTCAGAGATTGTCAAATTACAGGGAGGGGGGAATACTGCAGAAAAGGTGAGAGGTTCTGGAAAAAGATGTGAGAGAGACAAAAGCAGTCTCTTTGGTTTCTGTTTAGACTTTATCTGCTTCTGTGCCGCTGCTGATGCGTAAGCGTTTTTTCTGAGAGGTGGCACTCATCAATCAGGAGAAGACTGCAGGGAGTCTGCTGCACCTCAAGCGACAGGATAAATGGTTACAGGGCTGTGGCGAAATCACAAGGTGGCACACGCAACCACCAATGTGGTGACTATAAACTTCGATTTACTCTTTTCTTCAGCAGCAACAAAGCAGCTGCACCAACCCAACTTTGCCTTTCCGTTTTTACCTCACAGTATGCTAATAGTGATGCCTTTAGCAAATGTTAATATTGTAATATTAGTGAGATAATATTTTAGCAAAGTGTCAGGAATAGTCTGGCCATCCTAATACACACCTGTAGACATAGGACACTGAGCATTAGTATTCACTGGACATGCTCTGCCAATGTAAACAGGAAGCAGGAGGTTGGTTGCTTAGACAAAACAGGAAGAAGAGCAATGAGTACAAGACTAGTGATTACTTTGCTTGGACCTTAAGTGGAGCCTATATGCAAAGGCAGTCATGTTGGCAGGAAACCTGTTAACGTTGGGAATCATTGCAAAGCAAATATGGTGACACATTAGTGCAGTATGAGCAGCATTATGGGATCATTATGGGAAAGCAGCACACACAAGTGGGATGAATTCACAGATGGTATGTGAGCCTTGATATAATAATGTTTTGGCTTAATTTGTGTGACTGATAAGATCTAATCAGGAAATGAATGTGGGTGTGTGCTTCATAGTTTCCAAAAGTCCCCAGTTCTGCCCTTTTGAGACTAAATTATAATTCAAATTATAGCTGAAACTGGGTCAGCAGCATTTTTTTTTTAAAAAGTCTCAGTTTTAGGGTTCCTAAAACCCCCACTAGTGTGGACATTGGGTTTAATACTACTGTGGATGTGTCTCATGAATTTTAAATATTCTTGGGATTAGCGGAAGTAGTTTTCCCTTGCGAGGCAGGTTCAACCACTGCTGTAAAATTCTGACATTAAAGAATTAAAAGATGCCTTCAGTTTTCACCCTTCATACCTGTCTGATTTGGCTTCTGGCTGAACCTTATCTAGAAGCATAAAAACAAACAAAAAACAGATCAGACTTTATATGTTTGCTCTTTAACGACTGCCCCCTTTGGAGTAAACATGTGCCAGTACCTGTCTATGATAGGCTTTAGTATATGTGAAATATTGAGAAAATCAGGATCCGATGTCCGGGTGTTTAAAAAATACATCTGGAAAAACAAAATGTAGAAATAAGCTACAGTATATGGCTGCCATCTTAAGAATATTCCTCTTCGTATGAAAAGCAAATGCAGGTGTCACTCCACGTTGTCCTGCTCTCTTTGCCCTTCAGATTCTCCTCTCTATTGCTTTTCTATCCACTTGAGGATAAAGTGAAGGTGGGCCAGGATTAGATTTTCTGTAGACTGTGTTCAAGATGAATATAATCCCCTAGGGTAGATCAGAAAAGATGTATCCAGGCATCAAAGCAGTAGTCATCAGGTAGAAGTCACAGTGAGCCTAAATGTTGCCTTGAACAACTTCCTCAAACAGCTCAGGTGTGTGTCTACACCTTGGTGTGATAGAGGTTGATTTATGAACCCTGGCCCATCGCCCCCTCTCTAGAGAGGCCCCTCTGCTCACTTTGTCTGCAACTAAGAATTCATCAGCTCTGTAATTAGAGGGGATGCTGGATTCTCTTCCCCACCTCCGAGACTCTCTAATCAGCCATCGATACAATCAGCTTCCCCTGTTCTGTCAGCATCTCTGCAGCCAGGGGATGGACAAGAAGCCACCCGACTACAGTTGTTACAAGCGTGCGCACTCAGTTCCATGCCGTGCAGACAGTGCTGATCATAGACAACTTAGACCCATGCTGGTACAGGTGCAGAGTCAACAAGAGGATTAATCTCCTTGCTGATCAAGGGAGCGCTGTAGGGGAGTGAGCAATGCGATGCACTTTGGTGATGCGAATAGGAGACGCGGGTGGACAAGTGCCACCCTACAGCGGTGTTTCTGCTGGGTCAGTTAAGGGGAATTTTTATTGTGAGAGTAGCATTTAATCACTGTCATGGCTACAAATAATTCAGAATAAGGAATGCCGTGAAAGATTGCCGTTTTTCAGGCAGTTTTTATTTTTTGTAATTCTTGGCTCTGGAATATTCCACTGAGAGCAGATATCCCTAAAATGGTCATCTTGGGCACAAAACTCAGAGGAGCTGCGCCAAGTCCAAGTATAAGATATAAAAGGATTATTTTTAAACTTTGATGGTAGCTTTGCATGATTCAGAGTACAAAAACAAAATATGGTGCTGGAAATAAGCCCATCTCCACTTGATACTCAGGATGCATGATTCTAGAGGGATTACATGGACTGATGAGTATTTTCCCTCCATAACACTAAACACCTTGAGTCATATTTTAACAAGGATAGTCAAAATCAAAGCTAGTAGTACAGTTGAACTAAAATAAATGAAGAAATGTAGTTTACTTAATGCTTACTCAATGGAGCTAGTAGTTAACACAATGGGGTTCCTTTTTTTTGTATCGAAAAAACATCGAACCGTGACACCAAAGTATCGAACCGAACCGTGAATTTTGTGTATCGTTGCACACCTAGTTAACACCTGGGGTGATGATAAGTTTTGTATGAAATAACAATACAACTTTAGCAATGTTTATTTCCAAGGCAACTGGTGTTTTTTAAATGTACGTATGTAAATGCGTGCAAGTGAATGCACCTTCACTGTAAATGCCTTGGAAACAACATTCATAAGATGTTTGCTAGCCCTGAAAGATGTCAACTTAAATTAAGAAAACAAACAGTAATGCAGAAGTCAGTGGTGAAG